GAATTCACTTGGCAGAGAAGTCGGGTCATTTTGTGTGTGACCTTGATATTCTGGTTCTCTGTCTACATGATCCCTGTGTTCTTCTCTGCCCGGCCTGTTGGATGGACAGACAAATGCACACACTGTGACAGCTTCAGAAATGCAGGAGGGTGGGGCAGGTAGAGTAGGTATGTGAGCTTGGATTTTCCAGAAGTGAAAAAGATAAGACAGTTGTAAAAAATTAGCCCCTGGGTGGGCCAATAGAGGGCTAAAGGAGAACATGCTTTCCTACTATGGGACACTGCTACCATCTAGTGGTAAGTCTGAAGTTGACTAGTAGGGTAGAAAATCTTATTTTCATCAAGGTCCATTAAAATCTCACTCTTAAAATCCTGCTGTTCGACAGATGTTTCTGGAGTATACCTTTAAACCTGGCACTCAGGAGAGGCAGAGGCAAGCAGATCTCTGTGAGTTTGAGGCCAGCCTGGTCTACAGAGCTAGTTCCAGGACAGGCTCCAAAGCAATACAGAGAAGCCCTGTCTTAAAAAGGAAGGAAGGAAGGAAGGAAGGAAGGAAGGAAGGAAGGAAGGAAGGAAGAACTCTTGCTGTTCAAAGGGCCACACAGGGTTGACAATCACAATTAAGTGTTAAGTGCCATGTACTTGAGGGGTGTTCTGACAAGAAATGACAGACTGGGGTGACTGCAAACATAAACCAAGCATCCCAAAACAACACTGTGGATAAGGAGCAGTGGAGGCTGCAGTACCCACACTGGGTTTGCACCCTTCGGAGGCTGTCTGGGAGCTGCAAGGAGTGTGCTGGACGCTATTTCCCTGAACTATTAGGGCAAGCCTTCCTAACTCCAGTTCCAAGATCCTTTCTCAACAGTGTTCAGGGCCACAAGGTTTGAGAGAGGAAGGAAAATGCATTTTTGTTCTCATGAGCCTCCAGCAAGCTTAGTATACTCTTCAACTATGAACCAAGCAAAACCCCTGTGTGTCCTTAGGGCAAATTCAATCCTGACCTTAGCTGTGAAAGCAGGGCCACATCTCCACTAAAGTGTAAGATAAGAATGTGTCTGTGACTGTCTCCTGTGCCCAACTCAGTGGGAAAGAATCTGAGAAGCTGCCTGATACTGAAAGCTGCGTGAAGCAAAACTAATGTCACTGTGGAAGGATTTTTCACTTGACAGGAGTCAGGGTATTTATGAGCACAAAAAGCTGATCCTATGGTGGGAAGCAGTTGGGCAAGGTCAATGGCCATCTATCTCATCCCTATACTTTCACATACATGCACACACACACAGACCACACATACACAGACACACACGTGTGCACACACATACACACACACACAGACACACCACATGTGCACACACAAATACAGACGTACACAGACACACACAGGCACACATGTGTGGATGAGGTTCTCTTAGTTACAAGTGATAGTGAAACCAAGTTGGCCAAACTAGAAAGAGGTAGTTCATTAGGAGGCCGCTGGAATCCAAGGGAGAGGATTCCTTGTCAAAGTAAAGGGAGCAGAGTGGCTTAGGCCTCCTGCCAACAGTGTGAGGACATGCTTCTCAGACTGCAACAAACATGTGTGACCAAGAATCAATTAAAGAGTGGATTCTGCCTCAGCTGATCTGGGGTGGGGCCTGATACCCGGCATCCATTACCTGTCTGCTCACACTGAGCACCAAGAGTGCTGAGAACTGCCATGCACATTCCCCTGCCTATGCCTCCTTGCCACGGTGGCCTTAATCCCTTATTAAGGGGGAAATGTGCTGCTCTGTAGGGGTCAGTATCCTGCCCTGCACTAACCCTAAGTCTATGATTGTAAGTCTGGAGGGACAGGGCAGGCACTTTCCTGGAAGCAGGTAGCTAACCAGCCATGGCATGAGGCATCTGCTTGTGGCTTCCATGTGCCTTTGTTCCTGATGTTTATCAACACCATCTACTCCCCACCCAGTGTCTTCCACAGTAAGCCGAAGTTGGGTTGTCAACCTGTGACTTATGGGTTCCTGAATCCCCCTCCCCCAGCCCATAGCCTACAAGATGAACACTTTGGAGGCCTGGGGTAGCTCTGTCCTGAAATTGGATTTCGAAGCCCCATGGAAAGCAGGGCATGGCACTAGACACTGTAGTGATGGGGGTTGTCCTTCTGTATATATGTTTCTCTTATTGGTTGATGAATAGAACACTGATTGGCAATTGGCGATTGGCCAGGCAGGAATATAGGCAGAGCTAGGAAATGAGGAAAATTCTGGGAAACAGAGTTAGAGTCGTCATGTGCCAGGCATTCTCCTGCAAGGCAAGACCATGTAGAAATTCAGAGATTAATAGAAAAGGGTTAATAATTAAGACAGAGCTAGCCAATAAGGAGCCCAAGCCAACAGTTTTATAATTAATATAGCATTCTGTGTTTATTTGGGGCTCAAGAGCAGCGGGACCCTGCTGGGCCATAAAACTTTCATTCAACACTGTGGTCCCAGTGCTCAGAAGGTAGAAACGGGAGAAACTGGAGTCTCACCCATGAATCTAGGCAGTAAGAGAGGCTTTAAACAAGGCCTGAGTATCTATCTCCCAGTCCACTGAAGGTGGAGCGATTTTTGTTGCCTTTGAAGAATTTCTTCAGGTGAGAAAATAGGTGCCTCTATTCTATCATCTTGTTGCTGCCATTAAAATATTTTTTTTTCCTCTTGGACACTTGTGAGTACTTACCTGCCTGTACACATACCACACACATGCAGTGACTGAGGTCAGCGGAGGGAACCAGAGCCCTTGACCAGGACCCATCTCTCCAGTTTGTTTTGGTTTTTTAGAGACAGGGTTTTTCTGTATAACAGCTCTGGCTGTCCTGGAACTTGCTCTGTAGACCAGGCTGGCCTCGAACTCTCAGAGATCCACCTTCCTCTGCTTCCCAAGTGCTGAGATCAAAGGCATGCGCCGCCACCATTTGTTTTAAAACACGTCCTTACTGCTTTCTTAACCCTACCCAAGCCACCCGGAGTGGAATTTAAAGAAAAGCCAGGTATTGAAGCAGCTGTCCCACACTTTCTCAGACACACCTTCTTTTCCTAGATCTAACTCGGGGAAGATGCCACTGCTGGTGGCCTGGTGTATACTCACCGGAGCAGTGGGGTGACTGCAGGTGGGCAAGGGAAGTCACAAGTGAGATGGGTGGCATAGGCCTTAAACCCAGCACTCGGGAGGCAGAGGCAGGTGGATCTCTGTGAGTTTGAGGCCAGTGTGGTCTACAGTCTACAGAGTGAGTTCTAGGACAGGCTCCAAAGCTAAACGAGAAACCCTGTCTTGGAAAAAAAAAAAAAACAAAAAAAAAACAAGAAAGATGGAAGTCTTTGGTCTGACTCTTGTGACTCTTCAGAGCTTTGTACTTCATGATTGCATCTGACATGAATGACTCTTATTTCCCATGAGAAGTCATTCAATCATTCACTCACTCACTCATTCAGAATAGATATGAAGAATTTAAGATGTAGAGACCCTTTGACCCTGCTCTGGAGGAGTCACAGGGAGGAGTCTTCAAAGCTCCCACCTGCTCCAGTGAATAACTGACAGGCCCCTTTAGTCATCTGGGGAGCAGGTGACTAACTAGCACACACTCTACAGGGACGCTACATGGGGTGCTGCTATTTTAAGTGACAGGTATGTATGTTCAAGTGTACAGGCACACGGGTCACACACACATGTACAGGCCAAAGGTCAACCTCAGGTGTTGTCCCTTGGGAGCACCACCTTCATCCAGAGCTTGCCAAGTACTCTAAGGCTTACTGGTCAGACAGCTCCAGCATCCACCTGTCTCTGCCTTCCCAGTGCCAGGGTACCAACCACATACCACCAGTGTTTCTGTGGGTGCTTAAAATCATGTTTGGGTCATCACACATGTAGGGCACGTTTTACCAACTTAGCTATCTTCCCAGGCCCTTTTCTCTGATTTTGTTAATTTTCTACATTCCTTTGTGACTTCTTAATTCCCTTCTTGGTTATTTTTTATATGGGAAATTAAAGTTGAGAAGTTCACAGACAAGGGTAGCTGGCCTGAAACCAAAACTCAATTCATCTTCAATCCTTGCAGCAGGCTGCCTCCCTTGTGCATGCCATCTCCCTTCTGGAGATAAGGCAGTGTGCAGATGACCCTGGAATGTTCACAGGCTCAAAGGTTCAAGCCTTGCCTAGATGTGAGAAGGGTGTGTCCCTAACGTCCCAATCCCTCTCCCATCGGGTAAGGCAGCACAGGCAGGACCACGGGCATAAACATGAACGACTAGCCAGCCATTTAGGAAGGGTCCCTCCTTGCCTGATCCATGGTCCAATTCTATCTTTGAAGGACCTTCTTTCCATCCTTAGTGACTCCCTTCCCAGCTGCCAGACTGTGAAGTTCCTCAGTACACTCCCAAGATCCTTCCAGAAGGGCAGCTTGGCATGAGGGGCCAGTCCACAGTCCAAGGGTCTTTGTAGGGGAGAAGTAGAAGGGGAACCTTTGACAACAGGCAGAAGGAAGTGTGTCCTTTTTGGAATGCCAGAGAGCCCGCTTCGACACTTGGACCTGCAACTGCTCCAATAATGTGATCTAACTGAAAAAGTCACCAGAATCAAGGGTAAGTGCTATGTCACCTACCCTAGAGTCACAAGCAGAATGTGGCTGGAGAGGGAAGACTCAAAGATGAGTTTATTCAGGATAAAAAAAACATGCCTAGCCAGGTGATGATGGTGCATGCCTTCAATCCCAGAACTCATCAGAGGCAGGTAGATCTCTGTGAGTTCGAGGCCAGCCTGGTCTACAGAGCAAGTTGCAGGTCAACCAAAGCTACACAGAGAACCCCTACCTTAGGGGAAAAAAAATGCCTAAAGGGGAAAGTGACTCTGGACACTAAGCATCTACTCTGTGGAAAGGAGCAGGGCCCAGTCAACAATTTGCAGTTCCTGGAAGAAAGGCAGTCATGTATAAATCAGCCTTTATGGGGTGGGGAAGGCTGCAGGTACAGAATTGGCTGCTCCTTATCTTTCCATCTGTTTTATTGTCAGATAGTGAGTTCATTATATAAATCTTTCAAAATAATGAGATATTACAAGAATAGTTTACAAGTCAGCTCTGATTGCACAAATACTTGACACAGGAAACTGTCTTACAAATACATACGTTTTCTTACAAGAATACTTTAATAAAGAAAATAAGTCTCTATACGTCTTAAAGCAAATTTGATTCAGCTTCTTCTTCCAACTCTGCCATCATTCTGAATTCATTTATAGTATATGTCTATCATATCCTGCAAGGCAAATTACACCCCGAGGCTGCTTCTCTTTCAGCTACTACAAAGATTCACAATGCTAAAGGGCCTTAGGCTTCCTTTTCTGATCTTCCCTGAAAGGAAAAGAATTCTTGCATTCAGGCTTGAAGAGGTAATTTTAAAACATTCCTTCCAAACTTGTATGAAATTAATCACCATTTCTGAGTGACTGATCTTTTAGGCTCTCACTCAGGCTAGACCAGCTGATGGTTTAAACCTGCAACATCAAGTCAATAGTTGGTACTTCACGAAGGGAACCCTGGGAGCAAGGATGAAATACCAGGACCAGGAAAACAGAGGACAGTGATCAGAGAACACTCTCAAATTCAAGGTCCCTCCCAGCTTGGGTGTGGCAGTAGTTGTATAAAATACTGAAGAACTGAAAAGGGCTAATTATTTAGGTCAGTGGTGTTGCGTCTCCAAAACACCAGTGGATACAGAATCTCAGACAGACTCTGCATCCGGCTGAACTTAATGGGTGACATTCTTCTTATGTGGTGGCTTTAATACACTCTCGTATATAGCCACTTGCCCAGAGCAAGTGATGCTGTATGTCAGGGGAACAGAACACTGACCACATCTGCCTAGAGATGGGACCCACCAGGGAAAACATGTGCTTTCACACTGTCCCTCCACTGTTACTGCAAAGTGGGCCCACTTTGCAAAGCAAACTGCCTTTACTTTTCAGGTAGCATGAATTAACATCAAGAAATTAGAGTGGCATTCTGCAGTCCAGTTCCTGAGAGCTTGGGGATAATATCCAACACCCTTCTGGAGGTTCTCATCCAGCTCCAGTCCCACAAGCTTAAAAGCACGTGGGGACTAAGAAGGCATGTCCCATTCATTTGTATTCCTTCTGGCTTTTCCCCCACCCCAGTGTAACAAACTGCCACAGAAGGGTATAGCAGTAGATGGAAATGAGTTGTTTTGCATTACCAGACAAGTCCCATCACATTATCAAGGGTCACATTTGCACATAACTAAAGAGCCAAATAACATCTACTGCAGTGACTTTGCGAATTCAGCATAGTCGATGTATCCATCGTTGTTCTTGTCATCATCTCTCAAAACGCCATCTATTATGTTAATCAGTTCATCTTCACTCATTACTGGTGCCTGTTCACTCCCCTCCTGCAGGAAAGTAAAGAGGTGACGAGGTGCAGGATTACAAAGGCACATTAGCAAATGCCTGAAAGGGCCATGCTCGACTTATCTAGAAGCTGTCAAGGTAATATGTGGCTGCTTCTAGGAATCCAGACTCATAGGTAAGATAGCATCAATTTATAAAAACCCACATGAAAAACTACATGTGCCAGTTACAAGAAAGTTGTGAGCACTGGGCAGTGGTGGTGTATGCCTGTAATGACAGCACCTTGGAGGCAGAGGCAGGCGGATCTCCATGAGTTCCAGACCAGCCTGGTCTACAGAGTTCCAGGACAGGCTCTCAAGCTACACAGAGAAACCCTGTCTCAAAAAAGCAAACAAACAAACAACAACAAAAAGATGTAACCAAAACAGGGCTTTGCTTTTTTTTGCTTTAAAAAATTACTGTTTATTCTTTTTTGGTTATCAAAGTCATGTACACTCACTGCAGAAAGCTGGGTCTGGTTACAAAGAACTGTTAGTCAGAATCTATGACCTATACAGCCATCCTAAGAAAACTCACCACCTGCGCCCTCGCCTAAGAAAATGGAAACAGTGACATATGGACACCTCAGGGTCAAGGCAGGAGGAAGAACACACTGCCAACCATTAGAATGTATGCTCCCTGAAGAGAAACCACTGTCCTGTTCTAGAAGCTGGGGTAGGAGGGCTGTGCCAGCTGCAAAGCTGCCATTCCCGGGTTAGCCAGCTCCCACATCTGTCTTCCACATCTCTGCCTGCCGCCACCTCCTCCCCAGGTACCAGTCTCACCTCCACTCACCATCCCTAGCACACAGCATCCTTCTGAGACAGTGCTGGGGCTCCCTACTGCCTATAGAGAACCCCACACTGAACCTAAGGTGAGCCTCCTCTCCATCTCCACCCCCAACCCTTGTGGCACAAGGAAAGACATTAAATCTGGAGGCACAAGGTCTTGATGTCAATTCCCTTAGCAAGGAAAGGGGTTACAGTGCCTGCCCTGCTCAAGGCGGCAATGGAGCCCAAGCCACCTCTACTTGAAGGTGCCTTGGGACACCAGGGAGTACTGCACAATATGGCATGACCCCCAGCTACTCCCAAAGCTCTCTGTCCCTTGGTCCTGGAGTCACCATTCTCAAATTAAACAACCTCTTCCCTGTGCTCTACGCTCTGCATCATGAACCTGGTCTGTCTTTTTAGGCTGGAGCCTCAAACTCCAGATGCAGCAGAAACACTGAAGCCTTGGCCCAGCCTGGGCACCAGTCCACCCAGACACCCTGAGACTGAACTCCATGACCTACCTCCTTATGGACATGAGTAATGGCCGTGGACAGTTCTAAGCCATCAAGCAAATCGTTGCCATCATAATCATGCATTTTGAAATAGTGGAGCTGCAGTTCTTGAGGGGACATCTCCGTCTCTGGTTTGTCGATGACACCTTCTAGATGTTCCATGATATGCCTGAGAACCAACAGTCAGAACATGCCAGAACCTTAAGAATGCTGACAAGTAAAACTGAAACCAGTTCAGAAACAGGCCATATTCAAGGACATAACACACAGCTAGGGCCACAAAAGGAGTCAACACCAACATCACCTGCTTCTGAGTGGGAGAGACCGAGGTGCCTTCTCTTTACTGTTAGAATTTGCTTACATTTTTGACCTACCGATTTTAAAAATAATTTTTTAAATAAAATTTAGAACAGGCACGGTGTTGCATGTTTTTAATCCTATTCAGGAGGCAGAGGCAGATGGATCTGCTGTGCTGGTCTACACAGCAAGTTTCAGAGAAGCTGGGGTTACATATGGAGGCCCTGTCTCCAAAACCAAAGGACAAAGTGCAAAGTTTACTCCCCAAGAAAGATTCGGCATCCAAACATGTCACTAAAAACATTCTGTCAGAATCAGGAAATCATAATTATATTCTGGACTAAGTTCTGACAAATAATTCACTGTATTTAGGTTTTGAAATCCTCCACTTACGGGATGATGAAGATAAGAGTACCTTACAACTAAGAGTCCCAAGGGATAAACACCATCCTTGAAAAATGTCCAGGAGCCCTACAAATTGATACGGAGGGAAAGAAGGTAGGGAGTGCCCTGTGGGCTAAAACTGCAGATGATAGGAACCTGGAACCCCAGCCCCGGCTAAATACATACTCTTGGTCATGCACTGTGTTCTTGTCCAGACCCGCGCTGCCATGATGGATGCTGGCCCCAGGCTCATGGGCCCTGGTACCTGGAGCATAAAACGTCCAGAGCAGGACACACAGGAAGGTAACTCTGAGCAGCCACAGGGATGTCATGGTTACTGGTACCTGGGAGGTGGAAAACACACAAGATGAAGGCAGAGCCCCAGAGCTTGGGTTCCTTCCAATAGCTAACAGTACATGCTTCAGGGAAACCTGGAAGGTGGCAAGGCTGCTGACAGGAGTACTTCAAACTGGCTTAGCTGTGGGACTGGAGCTGGAGCTCAGTGATGTGGCACTTGCCCAGCATGCACTAGGTCCTGGGTCCCATTCCCAGGACCCCAGAAAAAGTCCAGCTCTGCCACTAGTTCTCCTGCTTCCCATCACTCAGTTGGACAGTGGAGGTCCACAGTTTCCTGATAGAACGTCAGAGGGCTGAGCAGTCACACAAGAGCATGAAAGGACCTGAGGACTAGTCCTGCCTAGAAGCCCACAGAGAGACACGCTTCCTACTGGAGCACAACAAAAGCAGAATGAGGGATTTTCAAAACAGGAGTTCTGAAAAAATCTCCTTGGGTGAAGGAGCCAATGCCTTAGCTAGGCCTAGACAAACAGCAGGGACGCTGGCTGGGTCTTAGGGAATGACCACAGCCAAGTGTGAGCAGGTGCAGGCAGTACACTTGGTCTCAGGGCAGGCAGCAAGAGCAGTGGCAGGTGCAAAGGTGAACGGACTGTACATGCTGAGCCAAGAGGCTGACATTTCCTGAGAACTAGAAATGAGATCACAGGCTGGCTTGGCTGATTCAGCCACGGGTTTGATGGAAAGGGATGGAGTGAGGCAGGACTGGAGACAGGGCCATAGGAGCTGAGGGAAGCAATCAGGCTGGTCACAACCTCAAAGCAAGGCCATTACCCTACCTTGCCAGGGTCCTGAGGGGGGCTCATAACTAAACATGGTGAGAGCATTGGAAGGGGAAGTTACAGAGAAATCCAGATTACATCTTTTTTAAATTCATTTTTTCCAATCCCAATTTTCCCTTCTCTTCCCCCCCTCCACCCTCCCCCCACTGTCCCCCACCTCCCACCTGCTTCTTGAAGAGGGTAAGCCCTCCCCTAGGAAGTCTACTAAATCCGTCCCATCACCTCCTTGAGTGAGCAGGACCAAGCCACCACCCCACCACCCCCAACCTAGGAGACTGAGCAATGTATCAGATTACATCTTAATGACACTTGGAACAATAAGTGGATCTTCCAGACAGTTCAACCACCTGGCGAGCTCCCTGAAAACCACCTTAGGTCGTAACACGGGTATTGGCACCAAGGGTTCAGCAGCTGCTGCTTCAATGCAAAATCTTGTCCTTTCTAGGCTTGGATTGGAGACTCACACTTCAAAGTGGAAGGTGAAAGACAGCCCAGGACCTCAAACACAGCCTGTGTTCTCATCTCAAAAGGCAGAGCCAATTCCTCCAGGACTAACAGTAGCAGGACCCCAAACCGTCAGCAGTAAAGATTAAGTGTAATGTCATGTGCCCCCTTACCACTCCATAAACTCAAGAGTACAGCTCTCAAGCCGAGCTGTCTCCAACTTGTAACCAGGGACTGTAAAGCAGTCCTGGTCCTTCCTGCATCCTAAATGCTCTCAGGGAGGACACAAGAGTATACCATCCTATGACATTCACAGAAATTTCCCCGATCTAATTTGTCTACCTCCCACCATCTGTCCTTGTTGATGGGAGGCACGACCACTGGGAGGGATAACGCTCAGGGTGCAAAAGAGCGGTATCCAGCCTGACTGCTGGGTTGTGACAACATGACATCTGTCATTCTGCCTAAGATTTCTAATATAGATTAAGTAAAAAAGCAGGTGCCAAAAGTCTACCCATAACTCATTGTTGTAAAATAAATATATATGCACACATAAGTACACTGTTTTAATGAAGACTGTTAAATTATGATTCTTTTACTTTGCAACTATTTCAAAATGTCTACTATAACTAGCCATGGTGGTGATACACCCCTTTAAACCCAGCACTTGGGAAACAGTGACAGATGAATCTCTGTGAATTGGAGGCTAGCCTGATATACACAACGTGTGTGTGTGTGTGTGTGTGTGTGTGTGTGTGTGTGTGTGTGTGTGTGTGTAGGCAGGCTTGGTTCCAGGTATCTTCCTTAATTGATCTCTATTTTATATAATGAGGCAGGGTCTCTCACTGAAGCCCAAGCCTGCTTATTCAGCTAGTTTAGCTAGTGATCTTGTCTATCCCCTATTTCTGCCTCCCAAGCACTGAGGTCATAGGTGGCTGCCATATACACCTGGCATTAATGTGGGTGCTGGATATTTTAACACAAGTCCTCAAGATGCAAGCAGTTTATCCCCTGGTCCATCTCCCCAGCCTGCAGCCAAGTTCTGATGTCAGTGTGAGTGAGGGTAGAACTTGGACACTTGTCTACTGAACAGAAATTTGAGTTGGGTGGTCACTGAATCCAAGGCACCCTTTCCTCTACCAACATAGTTGGATCCAGTTGGAATGTATATCTACAGGGATGTTTTCTACTCAGGTAATACCAGAGTAACCAAGTGACTAATAACCACAGAACTGTGAGTCCAGGGTATCCTTTCCTCAAGGGACACAGCAAAAAAAGCCAAGAACTGGCAACTTGAGTTTTTGTCTCACCTGGTCCCTCAACTGTTTGGTCCCAAATAAACACATAGAGGCTTATAATATTATAAACTGTTTGGCTTATGGCTCAGGCTTATTTATTAACCCATGTCTATTAATGGGTGTATCTCTACTAGCTCTTGGCTTACCAGTGATGCTTGGACCTCTTTCCTCCTCGGCAGCTACAAGGCATCTCCCTTGCAACTCACTCCCTGTGTTCCTCTTCCCAGAATTCTCCTAGTTTGGTAGCATCACCCATATTTCCCGCCTGGCTACATCCTGCCTGCCTATTGGGCAAAACAACTTAGTTCATCAACCAATAAGAGAAACAGATATTCACAGCATACAGAAGGACCTCCCCCAGCAAAGAACCACTGAGAATACACAGGTTCCTAACCAGAAGATCCCACAAGCACTACAATGACAACAGGTAATGACTGCCACCTGTCAAATTAAATTGTTCCCAGTCAAAAGAAAACAGAGTGTCCCATTCTGGCCAAAGAACAAGTTGCATCATCTACACTCCCATTATTTAGTCCAAGGCCATGGGTGCACAGCTTGGAAGAGAAGCCCCAGAGTTCCTAAGCTCACTGGCCTTCAGGAAATTACATTGGCCAAGGTAGAGAAAAATCCAAATGAGGAGAAACTGATCGACTGACTCTCCTTTCCTAAATACAGGCAGGTAGCCATGTGTAGTATGGCAAGATATTAGTTTATGCTGTGGAATATTTTTTAATGATGCAAAGATGTGTTGCATTCTTTTTTGTTACTTTTGTTTAACTCTGTAAAGCTGTGTTACTTTGCTTGCCTAAAACACCTCCTTGATCTAAAGAGCTGAATGGCCAATAGCTAGGCAAGAGAGAGAAACAGGTGAAGCTGGCAGGCAGAGAATTAAGAGGAGGAGAAATCTAAGGAAGAGAGCAAGGAGTGAGAAAAGGAGGAGGAACGCTAGGGGCCACCCACCCAGCCACACAGTCACCCAGCCACTCATAGAGTAAGAAGAAACACAGGATAAAGAAAGGTAAAAAGCCCAGAGGCAAAATGTAGTTAAAGAGAAATGGGATAATTTAAGTTAGAAAAGATGGCTAAAAAACAAGTCAAGCTAAGGCCAAGCATTCATAAGTAACAGTAAGTCTCTGTGTATTTATTTGGGAGCTGGGTGGCAGGCTCCCAAAGACTAAAAACAACACACACACACACACAGACACACACACACAGACACACACACTACAGTATAGAGCCTTATTTTGATGTGTCTGCAGTCTTGGAAACATGACTATCCCATGTTCTCCTATAAATGGTTCATTTATGGGTTAGCACAACTACTTACATACTCTGACTATTCCTCATTTGGAAGAAGACCACATAACGCAGTGAAGGAGGAAACAGATACTGCTAAGCCCAACAGCCCCATTAACCCGAAGACCAGTGGGGTGACAATATGGCCATATCACCCTAGCATCCAGAGGGGACTTTGGAAAATGACCCATGCCTCAGCATTCATCATCAGGAGCAGCATGAGTCTGGAAGGACAATGCTGACCTCCCTCAGATCCTCGATCCAACGAGGTTCCTCTCACTGACGTATCTGGTCACTCCTCCTAGGCCTGGTTCAAATGTGACCCAAAGACTCTGGCAGCTAACACTGCCTACTTCCTTGTCTAACTGTTTTTTTCCTTCCTGTTTTTCTTTTTCCCCTTTCCAAAGTCCAGGACATCGAGTACTGAACAATGCTGAGCTGGCCTGGGGACAGCATGGTCAGAATAAGATGAGATGTGGCACAACAATGTGTCAATCTTTATCTCTGACCTAAGGCTGAACTCTCCTTTGAGGCATTCCCACTCCTGGGAATGCCCTGGCCCACCCTTCCCTCCAATTGTGTCATTATTCCTTTCAGTGAGTGTTCACCCTAGCAACTGTTGTCAGCTTTTTTCTAAATCCAGGGGCTTTCAGTCCAGAATGTACATTCAAGCAGCCACATTTGACAGCATCCAGACATCCTGTACCCAGAGTCAATGCCAAAGAAAACTGGCCAGCATTTCTTACTTTGCTAGCTCCAGGGTCTTGAAGTAAAAGTAACCAGTAAGTCTCCAGGTTAAAGAAACCTCTAGATGGACTGAGGTTGAAAACTTGTCCTGAACAGGTTGGCGTTTAATAATTTGATCTACCTGTTCACTGGGGTTAGCCAAAGAAAAGGCACGCTACTCTTACACATTTAACCAACAGCCTAGTAACAGAAAGAGCAGAACTGCAAAAGCTGTGAGAACTGAGCTGTTGACACAAGCTGACTCCTCTATCACAGATCACAGCCTGATGCAAAACGAAGGCCACTAAAAGAGGCACCCAATGGGTGTCACATAACCCCCACTCACACTTGGAATGACTCAGGAAGCATGAGAATAAATATTTCAACCAAAAAATTGTAGTAGGAACATGGGGCAGTGAACACCTGAACTCAGAAAAGACTTCGGTCCAATGTAGGAGCAAAATAATCAATTGTGGAGGAAGGGGTCTTAAGTACAAAAAAAAAGGTGAGTCATAACAGCCTGTGCAAGAGACTCAAAGTGCATGCGAATCCACAAAAAGGCAAGGGAATCAGGGGCGGCGAGGCATATGGGATTTGTTTGAAGACCGCGTCTCTAGCTGCCCTGTATTGGATGAGTTGAAGAGGCTCGGCAAACAATCAAAGGAGCAGAAAGGGAGGCTGAATCGCCTGGGCAGGAAGGTGTCTGGGAAAACGAGAGTTCTGACTGGGTTCGACGTCTCTGAGGAGTGCAGGTGAGAATGACGCCCAGGCCTCTGGTTTGAGGCGCCATGCTCCGGAGAGGGCAAACAAGAAAAACGAGCATCCCTTGTCTTTCCAACCGCCCAGGCTCAGGCTAGCCAATCCCACCGGGACAGCAGGACTTGTGGGTCTAACCCAGGAAGATGGGGCAGCCGGGGGCGGATGGAGTAACGCCCGCGGCCCTCGTGCAGGCCCCACTGCACTGACACTCAGCCCCTCCCCCAGGGCCGAGCGCGGGGCTCAGCCCGGCAGTCGCGTCTGGCCCCGAAGCCCCCTCGGAAGTCAGGCGGCTGCCGCGGGCCAACCAGGTCCCGCTGCGCCCGAGTGGTCCGCGCCCTCCACCCCGCCGCTCTGGCCTCCCATCCCGAGCCTCAAACCCCGGAATCGCCCGCCGACTTCTGCCCTGAGAGTCAGGCTTCCCGCCCGCAGGTTCGCTCACCCTGACAATCGTCCAAGCGGTCGCGAAGCACTACAGCATGAGCCTTGCCAGCTACCGTCCGCCGGACGCTTATTTTCAGCCCGTCGGACCCGCCCCCCAGCCGCCCGGCCGCGCACGCGCACCACCTCCCACCCGCCCACCGGGACCGTCGGTCACGCCCCCTGGGCGGTCCGCTCCACTGAGTCCACGTGTCCTCCGTCGCCGGCCGGACAGGACCCGCCTCCTAGGGGCGACACCCAGCTGCCCCAGCCTCCGGGAGCCCCAGCGGCGTGCTAATTGCTAGGCAACCCCGGAAGCCCCGGGACGTGCCTCGACGTGGGCAGTGGGCTGAAGGATCCGGATGGGGCGGGTCTCTTGGCTCCTCCCGTATAAAAAGTATAAAACCCAAACTCCTGTCCGGGTGAAACAGCTGGAAGATGCTGGTGCTCGTCTAGGGTCCCGCGGTCTTCCAAATCGGCCTACTTGTTTTCCTTTTGCACTATTCCTCAGGCAGCATCAGCGTTGATACCTATCCACTCACGAGCTCCATCAAGTCTTTATGGACGACCCAGCCTCTGAAGTTCCTGACATCGTCTGTTTTTATCATTTGAGAGAAATCCGTTCAGTGACTGTGTATAGACCAGATGGATGTACGAGCTTAGGGACTGTACATTTTTAAGTTCTCCCGTTTGTATCCATAAAGATACATAATCGTTTTGTTTTGGGGGTTTTATTTATTTATTTATTTATTTATTTATTTATTTATTTTCAGATGTGCCTGTATCCAAGATTAAAATTTTAACATTATCCCATAGGGAGCAAGCAAAGTCCCAGAGTCCCTAAAGAGATTATTAGCACAACGTTCCATCTCCTTTAGATTAATTTGATCCAGTTCATACCGGTACCCTGCACCTACAGTGTATCCATCCATTCTGTTCATTAGATCCACCACAGTTGAGTAGCTTCTACCTATAAGGCACTGTTCTGGGAGCTACAAATGCAGGTAACTTGGAAGTCTTCATGATTCTAGCACCTTTGTCCAAAATCTTTCATCAAATCTCTTTGTGTTATCAAAACACAAGACTTTAAAACACATTTACACGTCTTCCTTCTTCCTTAGATTCTATTCCAAGGACTCCGTCCTCCACTGTGGGAGCCCCAGAGACAGCTTCTCAGCTTACTATCGTTTCCATCCATTCTTGCCCGTTTGGTCCACAGGTGAGAAGCCACCTCCGTGATTTTGAGGTGGCTGTTGTATAACTTGTGACCAATCTGACGAGATTAAGAGAACTAATGGTGAAAGGGTCTCCATTCCAAACTTGAAAGTTGGTGAACCTCTTTTAACAGTAGTGAAACTGCCAACTGGCTGTCAATTGCTGGACCTTGAGCACGGTCCACATGCCAAACATAGCTGTATTCTAAGAGGACTGTCTAGAATATTCCTGAATACTGACCTTTGTTAGTAGCTTTCTACAAAACCCTTCAAAGGAATGGCAAATCTAGGTTAGAAACGGTCGGATTTGAAAGCAGGGATTAAAGAGGACCTTGGTCTGCAGCCTGCTAGCTGAACTGGCCAAGAGCCCCATGAGCTGGAGCTTTGCAGTAGGTTTCAATGACCCATTTGTGTGCTTAAGTTCCAACTAGCACAAGTGGAGAAAGAGAAGAAAAAACAAAACCAAAAAAACAAAACAAAAAACACTTCATTATGGGAAAGAGGCCCCAAGTAGCAAGTAGGTGGCATCTCCTTCCTCAAGTGTGACATTGAATGGCCTGAAAATGATGTTTTGTCTGTGGAGAAGATTCTAGGGTGGGTGAGAATGGGATGAAAGTAATACTTGAATTTACAGCTCTTAGTGTTGTTATGAGTGTTGAAAACTATATGAATGCGTGATTGGTAGGCATAGGGGGGAGGTTGAGGGGGGACCCAGTTCAAGGCAATTACAGATAGTGTTGCTTTAAATATGTATCTTGTTGCACATCTGTTCACATGTGGAAACAGTAAATTGAAATATGTAATACAAAGCAATTTAAGGACTTTTCTAAGTGAGCCATTTTACACCGACTGGGCAACAACATCTAATAAACTACTGACTCATGTGTCCTTCAAATATCAAGCCTGATCAACAACATGCTGCTTCTGCTCAACCCTTTGGCAATTCCCAAAGCCCAGAATTCTCTCCAGCCAGGAGTGGAATGCAACCAAAGAGTGTTCTGTAGAATTAGAAGACAGATTAAGGGTGGGGCTTCTGCATTCTTCCACTAAGGACCTACTCCATTGCCAACAAAGAAACCTTGTTATTTCTGTTTGGCAGTACTAGATGTGGATTGCTGACTGGCTATACCGTGTTTTCCATTCCCAGTTTTTCTTGAGTGGAAACTCTTGCTGTCTGTTCACGTTGCAGATTGAATGTGTTTCCCTGCAGCTATTTACATTGTGTGTATATACAGTCAAAGAAAAGCATGTGCACAAAAAAAAAAAAAAAAAAGATGTCCTAATGGGGTTGAGGATGAGGCGGTTCAGTGGTTTTAAAACACTTGGTATTGCAGACGAACTATATTCAGTTCCTAGCACCTATAGCGCCAGGGCTATGATCTGTTCCACGAATCAGGCGAAGGCCTAGAGATTGAAATAAGAGACAAAACAGCAGGTCATTCGTTCAATGGCAATGTCTGAATGCCGAATGCCATTTATTGAGGGGATGGGGTGAGCTTATATATTGACTTTCAGCACAGTGGAAAATAACAGGATTTTCAGGCTTAGTTCCTCCCCATCAGGTGTGTGTTAGCAAAACAGGAGGAATACTGATGACAACTGTGGGAAAGGGGGGCAGGAAGAGGACCAATAGCAGCTCTGGGGCAAGAAGTCTGGCCAACAGCTTCAGGCTTGCAGAAGGTGCCTCCAGGGTCCATGCAGGACCCTGCAAGCACCCCCATGGGGGCTCACAACCATCTGTACCTGCAGTTCCGGGGGTATCTGACGCTGTCCTCTGGTCTCCACTGGCACTCATGTAATGCACAAACATGCACACATTCAAAACACCCATGCACATAAAAAAAATTATAGTTAAGTGTTCAACTCAATGAGTTTTCAAAGAATACAATCATATAACTAGTATCCAGAACAAGAATTAGAACATTACTAACATGTCAGGCATGGTGGCAAGGGCCTTTAGCCCGGGATCGGAGGCATAGATAGATAGATCCTTGAGTTTGAGGGCAGCCTGGTCTACAGAGTGAGTTCCAGGATAGCCAGGGCTACACAGAGAAACCCTTGTCTTGGAAAAACAAATCCAAATAGCATCCTTTCCAAAAGTACCTGTTATCTTGGATATAATAATATAGGATGATTTTACTAGGTTTGTCTCTTACATAAATAGATCACACACTACATAATCTTTTGCTCAGCATAATTTTTTAAGATACAGTCTTGCTATGTAGCCCTGACTGGCCTGGAACTGACTATATAGACCAAGCATCCTCTAACAGACCCACCAGCCTCTGCTGCCCAAGTGCTGGGATTAAAGGCATATCCTATATGCTCAGATATTGAGCACAATTTTGAGATCCATCCTTGTTGGTGTAGTTTAAAATCACTCAGCCTCATTTCTGAATTCTATTCCATGGGTTCAGCATATATTATACACTGTTGTACTACTGATGAACACCCAGGGAAGTTCCCAGGTATAGGCTGTTACAAATAATTCTACTCTGAACATTGTAGAGCATGTATGTGTTTTGCTGTATGCATGTTCACATTTCTATTAATTTTCACCTAAGAAGAGAACAGCTGACACACATGGAATGAAGCTGTCCCTTTTTGTCACATACAACCAAAGTGTTTCCAGGTGGCTTTGTCAACATGAGTGAGTTCCATCATTCCAGCTTCCTTGGTACTTTCTTTTTTATGTTGGCAAGGCATTTGTCCTTTGGCTTACCAGACGCCATCACTAGACCCGAAGGAGGAGTGCTGTGGTCTGAATATGGTTTATCCCCGTAGAGCTCATACTGAAATTTAATTACCACTGCGGCGATGTCAGGAGGAAGGACCTCTAAAGAGTGGTAGGTCATTAAGAAAGATGAATGTCTTTGGAGGATGGGTTAATTCTTGTGGGACTGGATTAATTAACTCAAGAGAGTTAGTGGTTATTAAAAAAAAACTGCATTCATGATTTGTTTCCTTTGCATGGACCAACTTGTCACTTGTATTCCACTTTCTGTCTCGTGGTAAAGCAGCAGAAGGCCACCAGTGGTGTAGTACTCTTGTGCTTCCCAACATCTGTAGCCATGAGCTAAAATATACCTTTATAAAATGCCCAGACTTGCAGATTTCATTTGTTTGTTTGTTTCTGAGACAAGGTTTCTCTATATAACAGTCCTCATCTCTAGACTAGACTGGCCTCAAACTCACAGAGATCTGCCTGCCTCTGCTTCCAGAACGCTGTGATTTAAGGCACGACTACCGCTGCCAGGCTAGACTTGGGAATTTTATTCTAGCAACATAAGATGGACTAAAACATCTGAAAAAAGCATAAGGAATTATACTGTTGACTATCTAAAATAACCTAGAATAAGTATAATTATATATATGTATATATATATATAAAATTTTTATTTAAACTGTATCTATACATACTGAATGTATGTACACACACAAACACACACACACACACATAACCATGTAGTTCAAATGAAAAAATGTATTTGTCTGTGTGTGTGTGTAGTTGAAATAAACATTTCTTAATTTCTGCCTGGGCTAACAATGCTCCCTCTAAGAGCCAAACACCACCTAACAAAACCTCCAATACCAAGCATGAGAAGCTCTCTTTGGAGTTGTTTTTCAGAATTGTTCAAGAGACTTCTTTCTAAAACACAGGCACCAGGCAGTCCTGGTGCATTCCTTTAATCCCAGCACTTGGGAGGCAGAGACAGGAGGATCTCAGTGAGTTCGAGGCCAGCCTGGTCTACACAGTGAGTTCCAGGACAGCCAGGACTTTACACAGAGAAACCCTGTCTTGAGAAAACAAACAAACAAACAAAACACAGTCCTTGGTTGTCCCCCAGAGGCAGGAGGCAAGTCCATATTATTAAAGATGCCACGTACTTCAGACCTAGAGGCCT